GAATATCATTGGTGATAGTAAGCACCCTTGTCTGACTCCTGTGTTTACTCCAAACGCCTCGCTGAGTCTTCCGTTGTGGATCACTTGGCAGGTGCCGTTGTCGTACAGCTGTTGAATAAGGTTGATGAATATTTGGGGTACGCCATAGTACTCGAGTAATTTCCAAATTACTTCACGATCAACGCTGTCGAAGGCCTTCTCAAAGTCTATAAAGTTGAGGTAGAGGTTTGATTGCCATTCCATGCTTTGTTCGATGATGATGCGTAGAGTTGCAATTTGGTCAGTACATGATTTGCCTTTCCTGAATCCAGCTTGTTCTGGTCGGAGTTCTGTCTCCAGTGCGTCCTTTAATCTCTCCAGGATGATGCGACTCAGGATTTTACTTGGCGTCGATAGGAGCATGATTCCTCGCCAGTTCTTGCAGAGTCCTAAGTCGCCCTTCTTTGGTAGTTTCACGAGGTAACCTTTCCTCCAGTCAGTAGGCACCTTTCCCTCCTTCCAGACCTTTTGCAATAATGGAGTCAGCATGTCTGCTGTAGTCTCTGGGTCCGCTTTCAGTGCTTCAGGGGGTATTCCATCTGGTCCGGCTGCTTTTCCAGCTTTCAGAAGCTTGATTGCGTTCAAGACTTCAGCTCTCGTTGGAGGATTGGTGTCAACTTGCAGTTGTGTGTGCGCTGTTGTTGGTATTTCTGGACGGGTTGCAGGTGATGGTCGGTTCAAGAGTCCTTTGAAGTGATCCGCCCATTGTTTAATCTGTTTTTCTTCCTTGGTAATTGGGTTCCCTTGGCTGTCTTTTATAGGTTTCGCTTGTGTTGGTCTCTTCCCGGATAGAGATTTGGTTATCTGATATAGTGTCCTCAGGTCCCTTTTGCCTGCTGCCTTCTCAGCTTCAGTGGCCAGGTTGTCGTAGAATCGTCTTTTGTCCTTCCTAGCACTTTTCTTCACTTCTTTGTCCAATGCTTTGTAAGTTGAGCTCATCGTCTCCTTCTCCTGTCCGTCCTTGCATTGAATCATTTTCTCTTTCACCATTCTCCTCTCTTCTATTAATTTCCAAGTGTCCGTTGAGAGCCATTCCTTGTCTTGTCTCTTCTTTCTTCCTAGAACCGTTGAACACGTTTCGTTGAGAATCGCCTTCAGAGACTTCCAATGTTCTTCCACGCATGATTCTTCAGTGATGTCGCGTAGTGTTTCCTGCTTTGCTCTGACAGTTGCAGTGAAGGTGTCTTTTGTGGTTGTGTCCTTCAGTAATTGAGTGTTGAACTTGCATTGTGGCCTATCCCCAGCTATCCTCGAGGCTTTTAGTTTCACCTTGAAAGTCCCTTCTACTAGATAGTGGTCTGAACCCACATCTGCTCCTCTCCTTGACCTTGTGTCCAGTAGGCTCCGTCTCCACTTTCTTGAAATTGAGATGAAGTCTATTTGATTCTTGGTGTTTCCATCTGGTGAAATCCATGTCGTCTTGTGTATATCCTTGTGTTTGAACACACTACCGCCAATCACCAAATCATTGAAGGCGCAGAAGTCTGAGAAGAGTTCACCATTGTCGTTCATTTCACCGAGGGCCTCACGACCCATGGTGAGTTCTCTTCCTGTGTTGTCTCCTCCCAGCTTCGCATTCATGTCGCCCATCAGGATTTTGATATCGCCATTTGGGACGTTGTCCATTATTGCTTGTAGTTGTCTGTAGAACGCCTCCTTCTTCTCTTGTTCTGAGACGTTTGTAGGCGCATAGCATTGAATGACTGTAACTTTCCTTCCTTTTGAGTTGAACCTGGCTGTCATTATCCTGGAGGAGATTGGTTCCCACTGCATGAGAGCTTTGGTTGCTGTTGGTGACATCATGATGGCCACTCCCTCGGTGTGCTCGTGGTTGTCCTCTGGGTGGCCGGAGAAGATTACTGTCTCTCCAGTAGGTAGTTGGCACCTTCCAGTTCCGTTCCATCTGCTTTCGCAGATTCCCAACACTTCTATTCTGTACCTTCTCATTTCAGCGGCTATCTGGGCAGCCTTTCCAGTTTCGTACATTGTGCGAACATTCCAGGTACCCATCCTTACTTTTGCTTTCATCGAAAGAAGGCACATCGGCTGACTGGCTTCCCGAAGGCTTTCACCAGCCTGCGTCATTTCACTTCCCCGATTCCAGCGAAAAGTAAGGCTATTGCTTATGTTTTTAGAATTTTTAATATATTTATTCGTTGAAGTTTCTGTAGCGATTTGGTTGTTTTACAGGGGTGGAGTTGCTAGCACCACGCCCCAACCCTCCCTCTTTACCCGGGCTTGGGACCGGCGAGAAAACTAGTAAGCTAGTAGCCTAGCAAGCTAGTATCTGGCGAGGTGCTAATACAACTTCCCAAATAGATGAAGTGGTCAACATGTTCTATCACTTCACTCCCTATCACTAAGCTAGGAGTTGACGTGGTCCAGTCCTGTAGCAGCATCTTACATTTTGTAGGGGCGAATCACATGCCAAACATACGAAGATTGCTGCTCAAGGTGTTCAGAAGACTCTGCATTTTGTCAGCATCTTCCCCTAACAGGACTATGTCATCTGCATATTCTAGGTCCATAAGACTATTCCCTGGTAACAAGTCGATTTCTAAGTCATTACGTTCAGTTAAGGATACTTCCATCAGCATATCTATGATGAAGTTAAACAGAAATGGGGAGAGTGGACATCCCTGTCGGACACCACTGGTTGTTACCAATTCAGATGACAATTCCCCATAAGCCCTTGCACGACTACGTGAGTTTGAATAGAGTGCCTTGATTAGTGCAATGTACTTTCTTGGCACTCCCTTCACAGTCAGACATTGCCATAGTACCTTTCGATCCACGGAGTCGAAGGCCGCCTTCAAGTCAAGAAATATGACAATTGTTGGACGCCGAAAAGTGTGTCTGTGTTCTAGAATCTGTCGGAGAGTGAAGATATGATCTATGCACCCTCTACCTGGTCTAAAGCCTGCTTGATTTTCCCTTGTCTGTTCCTCCCGAGTTCTGCTTAGTCTATGCATGATTACTGAGCCTAGGATTTTAGAGACTATGTTCGTTAGGCTGATCCCCCTATGATTATCACACGAGGACTTGTTTCCCTTCTTGAATATCGGTATAATAAGTGAAGACAAACTGCCTTATTTAGACTTCACCCCGTACATTTACCAGTTTTACAGCTAGTTAAATTGAGTGCACGACTAGGCATGTTAACCATAGAGTTCCAGAACACCACGCGTCATAGTTGGACAAGAGACCTACTAGAGCGGTAACCAGTTCTCTATTAACTCGCCTTGTCGATCCAGGACATTATACTGACATTAACAAGACGTTTTATCGTGTCTTATTTAACCACTATCAAGTCACAGGAATCTGGTTTTTATATACAGCACAGGTGACTGGAACTCATCTGAATAGCCCAAGTCTGGGGCTTTAAAGGAAATTCGCACAGCTTCTTTTATTACCATGCTTGTCTACTTAATAAGACTGGGAGATTATAAACGACTTTCGCCTATTATTGTACCTGTTGACATTATCATCATGCTACTTATTCTGCCATTACTATTTTAGCTAATTCACTTGACGTTTTCGTAATTATCTATTTTTTAGTAAGTTTAATTCACCTAATTATTGTTATTCCACAAGCTATCAACTATCATAGTTTGTTGCTGACCTCTACAAATTCTACTGGATCATCTTATCATTTAACTAGTATATTGATTTTCGTAAATATTTTTACGTCTTGTATACCTCGAAATAGATGTTTTTATTGACCAACACACATAATTTGAGTGGTATAGTCTTCATACATTTTTAAAAACCATATTAATGCAGAGCCGTTGGTAAGGTACTAATCGAAAAGAGACATACTTATTGATTTAATTTGTTGTTTTAAACAGAAAAGTTGTTCGCAACAATTCGCTTGCCATCTTTTCAACATTTCAATATTTTGTTTGGCACATGGCTCTGTTGGCATATATATTATGCATTTAGCCTTCATGTAATATACTTCCGTGTATTCAATCAAACAAGAATTATTAGTGATAATAGTGTGGTGTTCTTCGGGGTTTTGAGATTTAAGTGAATGTCGCATAAGCAAGCCAAGTGATTTATTTCACAGCGAAGTAGCATTTGCGTTAACATACAGACATAACTCAACGTTTGTTCTACGATCACATACATGACTGGAGACTTAGGAAAGTTTTAGACAAGAGAATGGCTTCTGATTCTGACTAAGTGAACTACCGCAAATGACGACCTCAACAGAGGAAAAGTCGGTTTTCAAAAATACGAAATGTCATGGTTTATAATCAAATTTAGCCACACTGAGTTTATCGTCTATAAGTTTCGCAAGAGATCTGAAATATTGTGTAACTTCAGTGCTACTTATATTGCATGGATGGCGCTCAGACACAGTAGCACTTGAGTCATAATAATCAGTATAAGTGAAACAATCTCTGAGAAAAATGGCACTATAATTAGCTCCCAGGATAGACGACTGGAACACTATGAGAAGTAGTTTAATTGGCATACAGTCACGCCCAACCTGCCGAACATCCAACACCTCCCTGAATGGGATATAGACACAGGTCCTCCGTCACTAACTGAGGTTACTAAAGCTGTCAGTAGTCTGAAACAAAGCAAAGCAGCAGGACCTGATGGAATGACTCCAGAGGTATTTAAGTACGGTGGAGACAGTTTACTGTTTGCATTAACTGGGGTTTTAGACAGCGTCTGGGAATCAGAAGAAGTCCCGTCGGGTTGGTGTAAGTCACTGATTATCCCCATATACAAGAAGGGAGACAAGTCTTCTTGTGATAATCACAGAGGGATTAGCTTGACTAATATAGTATCTAAAGCCCTAGGTTCAATAATCATGCGCAGACTAAGTGGAGCTCGGGAGGCACAAAAACGAGAGAGCCAGGTAGGCTTTAGACCAGGAAGAGGGTGTATTGATCATATCTTCACCCTCCGACAGATTCTAGAACATAGGCATTCCTACCGGCGTCCAACAGTCATTATATTTCTTGACCTACAGGCGGAATTCGACTCTGTCGACCGAGAAGTTCTCTAGCGATGCTTGGCTGTAAAGGGAACTCCGAGAAAATATATTGCACTGATCAAGGCACTCTACTCGTACTCATGCAGCCAGGTGAGGGCTTACGTCGAGTTGTCATCTGAACTGGTGACGACTAGTGGTGTCCGTCAGGGATGCCAATTATCCCCATTTCTATTCAATTTCATCATAGATGTACTAATGGACTTAACCCTAACTCACTTCAGCAACGCAGGGATTGACTTGTTACCAGGGAATAGTCTCGTTGACTTAGAATATGCAGACGACATAGTCCTTTTAGGCGAGGACGATGACAAAATAGAGCAGAGTCTTCTGAACACATTGAGCTGCAATCTATGAATGTTTGGCTAGCGGCGGTCAAACCAAAACATGGCACCAGTCAATGAAATCTATAACAGTTAGTCTAAGCCACGTAGGAAGATGTAGACTTCCAGGCTGGGGTCCTCGGGACGGTAAAAATCAATGGTTGGGAACAATTGGTGATATGGCTCAAAATCGTTCTCAATGGCGCAGATGCATCCACTCCTTGTGACTTATGATTTCCAATGAAACTGTTTTGCTCTTCGTTACTATTATTCCTTTGTCTCACACCTCTGTTTACTGTCTCTGTTATGCATTTCTTCTACTTTCTCCTGTTGCTTCGTGTGCTACATGGAGTGTGGCAACTTGAACTGCCGCACTTTGGTGCAAAGTTCTATGTCGAAAATAGACAGACAGATATAATAATCAGTAGTACTGCTTTAGCAACCAGACATTTTTGTTTGAATTTATTCTTTTCCGAAAAAAGAAAAATCAAAGGTTAAAATGACTTACCAGACATTCATTTTATGCCTACAACATGGACAGCCAGAAAACTACTTACGAGAATCAACAGTAATAAGTGAATTAGTAGGTAAAAACAGTCACGTGCGACGATATGTCAAAATAAAAATACAAATATTAACACATACTTCAAAGCCTGTATGAAAATTAGTTGATCTTGCAGTTTAATTCCTAGACTACCTAGTGATTAATCCAGGTTAGTTTGTTGATACCCCATCTGAGTGAGGTTTCTACCTTTAATGGTTAATGAACTAACAAAAATTTCACTAGGCAAACATTATTTATACAGAAAAATATTTACTTGAAGTGACATTTTCTCATCATCACGAAATCCCATTTCAATTAGACGTTGACGTCGGTACGTTTCATAGTGGACACCGTGAGTACGTTCACGTAAATCTTCCATATTCACACGCAACAGCATCTCTCGAAGTCGAACAAAATCACAATGGTTTTCGTTTTCCACTTGAATTGCACCCCATGGATATTGTCGTACACGTACTGTCTTGCCATTAATTTTAGTCTCTTCTGAGCTACCCACGACAGCAAATGGGATATGTTGCTTCAAGTGAACGAAGAAAAGAACATGCACCAGACAATTATTACAGAGAATTTATTTACGATGAACATTAAACGAGATTTTACTTATTACTTATACATATGACTGCGATAGTTGAGATAGGTGGTTTTCGATTTACCGAAGGGTGCTTGTACTTTGGTTAGACACTAGAAACTAGTATGATGTGTCTAGTCCTTTCTTTGGTGCAGACTGAATTATATCAGTCAGGTTTGCAATGTGGCCGCCAATCTAGGTTTCTCGCCATCACAGTGCACATTGATTTGATGAAATTAGATGGTTGGAAGCAAACAACAGGAAGCCTTGGACCTAGGTTTCGTGCTAGTTGGTTGAACTTATTACTATGAACACGGATAACTTTACTTCACTTTACGTTTGGATGTAATTATTTGTGATAAAATACAAGGGCTTATGTGGAATATAACATGACCTTACAAGATACTAGTTGAATCGCGTTACTCCTTTCTTCCGAACACTGTCTAGTCTGTCAAAGGCCGTATCGTTTCATTCTACAGACAGGGTACGGCTCAAGACTTAATGGCATTTATTTAACAGATCGTTTTTCATCTTCATGTATCTTCTGAGAATATATCCAACCAAGTTGTTATATGGTTAACTAGAAAATAACTTAAATTCCATTAACAGAAATTTTCAGGGTCGAATATTATAGAAATTATTATAGATGCACACATTAATTACTTGCAGATAAATACTTTTATGTTCCAGTCAGTTATCATTCTGTGTATTTGAATTGCAATCAACTGTAACTAGGTACCATTTCACTGATAGCATTCAACTGCACTCAATTATATCCGTATATGCTAAGTATTTCAGACAAGTGTATTTATGCCTTAAACACAGGGTAATTATGAGTTTATAACCACACAATTTAGAAAGATATTTGCATACTCCTTATTCTACATAAAAGGGTCAGGGTGTGTTTAAGTGAGCAGTTCGAACAAAGGCATCAAACTGGCAAGAAATAAAAATATGACCTTTTAATAACTGAATATCGGTGGAGAATAACTGATAATAATGGTTGCAGTAAAACAGTAAAAAATGCCGTCTTTAAGTGACTGACTCTTCATGAATGTTTTCATTACTATTTAATCAAACATCAGCACAAAATTAAGACTGGTGTTTTACCTTCAAGACATCCAAAGATTTGATATTATTTTGTACGGAACAGCCAGGAGACAATGACTTGTACGCACAAGACAATGCAAACTACTTGTAATTTTGGTAGTATTAAATGCAAATGACTCATAGGCTTACAAACTAGACTATCAAACAAAAGGTCTTGGATTCGAATATTAACTATTCTACCTCATATAATACAAATTTTGAGTGCAACTCATTGTCTGATAAGCAAACATATTAATTTACCGAGTCATATCCCTTAAATAAAACTGAAAATTCAATAGAGAAAAGCGTCAAACTAATCACAGAAGCTTACATTCATAAGACTGTTAGTTTCACTAACAGCTTCATCATCAGTAGGAAATTGGTAAATACCGATTTCGTTGGATTGTATCTCGCTGAGAATCTAAAATAAGTTGGTTAATCAAAACCTTTATCAACTCTAAAGACAACATACTCTTGCTTTGAACTTTTGTAGTTCAGACTTTGTAATGGTATCGGATTTTCCAATGATGGGGATAACATTAACTTTATTTTCCAGTTTTTTCATTGCAACCAAGTCGATGGACTTTAAACTGCATAAAAAAGAAAAACACCAGTTTAGCAAAGCTATTTACTAAATAGACAACAGGATAGAGCACAAAACAATAAAGAAAATGAATGCAATACCTTACTATGAAATGTGGCACTTTTATCAAAGATACTACACTTACCTAGTCCACAAACTTACTAAGTCATAACTATTTTACAACAGTGAAATGGCAAAATAACTCAGCTACGAAGGGTCAAAGTAAACGCTCAATTGCATGTTTGTGCCATACTATGTGAAATCAAATAGTACACAGTAGCGTGGATATATCCATTGTGAACACCAATGATTAACTGTCTTTCCCTTCACCTGTATTTCTACATCAGTGTTACCACTTTACAGTCCACAAATTTTTATACTTTGTAACATATTTTACTCAGTTTCCTTAAGCCGCATTCAAAATTCTTTTTCGAGAATACTTTAACCACTGATGACTAAGTTCCAAAAAAGGCAGCACAGAATTGCAGCAGTTTAGGTTACCACACTCCACTCACACAAGTAGAGAAAAATATTCAAACGGAATATGAAGGAGAAACAATAGTAAATGAAAATAGAAAACGTGAGGTTTTAATGGAACTGAGAGATCACAAATAGTGAGCCACTGCGAACGGTTTTGAGCCATATTAGAAAGTCTCCAGCCATTGGATCTAAGCATCACAAGGATCTAATCAGACAGGATAAACCTCCCGGCGTGGTTCAGACCGATAGTCGAAGACTACATGGACTGATGACAGGTCTTAGTTTAACCTCCTTTAACTCTTTTGCAACCCAATCCTATGTCACCCAATATGGCTAGATGGTGAAGGCTGTGGTTTGGCTTGTGCAACACATACCTTAACCATCCCAATCGATGTACCTTTACAACTTCATACACTGACTCACTCACGTAAACTATTGATGAAACGTTTAGTACAGTTAATGTAGTAAATCTGATTATCCAGTGACACGGTGAAGTCATATCATATGAAAAATAGAGAAACAAGTCTATTTCCTTGATTCTATTTAATAACTTTACAAATAATACAAATGCACGCTAGTAACGTACCTGTGTCCTGTAGGTGCGATAAAATAAAGGCACACATGGACCCTGGTATCATGAAATGTGTGCATAGATCTTTTCATTTTTAGCTCTTCCTGGAGATAGTTTTCGAACTGATTATCAATGTAGTCCACAATAGGTTTTATGCTAAAAATTGTTACATGAATGTGGGGAATTACTTGTTATCCTGATTAATCTGGTCACCATATCCGCAAGTTTCTACCACTGTTAATTTTAGCTTAACATTGGCTTCTTTGAGGTCTGGAAAAAAATATGTGTGAAACAGAGCAATACCATAAGTAACAGCCTTTAGTTTTGGATCTGTCAGATCATGGGGTGAGGGGTTGAAGTCAAACTTCTGATTAAACAGCGTTTCTAGCAAAGTGGACTTTCCGATACCAGTTTCTCCTTCGGAGAATCAGTAACAAGAACATGAACATACCAACGCATAGTACATTGAAAACGAACCCTTGGCTAATAGCCTTATTAACTAGCTGGTCTGGAAGACTGTCAAAACCGACATGCCCTGTCAATTTCAAAGTACGCACATCAGGAGGCTAAAGTACCATAAACATAAGGGGAATTGAACAAACCAAAGACTTCAGGACATCAGCCGTCATTTTTCGAAAGTGAGCTGTCTAGGTCATCCAACGTCCAACATAAATTCGGAGAGCTTCAATATCCAATATCCTGATTACGATCTAGCATAAACCAGTGATTTCTTTGAGCTCGCTTCTTGATTTTGAGGTGGAGGTTCCAGATCTTCGGTGAGCTTCTGCGTAGTAAGTCCTGCCACTCGACTGCTATGGCTCTGGTAGACTCCAAGAGGAGTGGTGCGGGAATTGGTCAAGATGTGGTTCGTAGTATGCAGTATGTTAGGATTGTATTGCTGCCGTGAATGGAGTTTGACCTAACTCCCGTTGGTCATTCGGTGTATTCACAAAAGCCCAATAGTAATAATAATAATAGGTTGTAGTGTAGATAATATGGGCTGAGATAAGTGGAATAATAAAGGTGACCTAAGGAAAAGATAGAGTGAGAGAAGGCAGAACAGGTCGTGGGGATTTAGTTTGTATGCTTATCCATTGACAGTGTGGTTTTAAGTTTTATGAGGATAAGCCATTCAGACACAAACGTTGCATTTCTGCATGATTGTCTAGCTTCCGCTTAAAAATCTCCGGAGATGGCGCTGTAGTCACGGCCGCCAGTAAAGCGTTCCAGAGACGACAAACACAAAGCGAAAAGAAATGTGATCGCACTCGAGTCTTTGGTCTCTGGTGTGCTATCCTTAGCGGGTTACCTCGTGGAAGCCTATAATCACTTAATGGCAGGATGCTTTTATTTGGGTGGGCCTGGTCATTTAAGATCTGGTAGACGGTGATGAGGTCTCCCCTGTGCCTACGGTAACTAAGTGTGAAAAGACCTAATTTCTTTAGTCGTTCCTCATATGGTTTGTTGCGGAGGCCGATCACCCATTTTGTCGCTCGTCTCTGGACACTTTCTAGAATGTTAGCATCCTTTTTGATTAGCGGAGGTGCAATGATATTATGCACCTGAAGGTGTGGCCTCGCATATGTCTTATATAACCTCAAGAACAGTTCGGGAGTAAGAGCTCTCAGCTGCCTATGCATAAAGTGTAAAGTTGCGTAGGCTTTGGCGACGTCCCTTGCGTAATTTCCACTGATGTGTAGCTTTTCTGTTAGAATAAGACCTAGATCTCGCTCTGATGGAACACAACTCAAGTTCTGGCCACCAAGGGTGTAATTTACACTGTGTGACCTGCCGGAATGGAATTGCACTACTTTGCACTTCTTTAGGTTGAAAGGCATTCCGTTAGCCAGAGCCCAGTTTCCCAGAGTTTACAGGTCAGCCTGCAATCTATCTGAGTCTTCCGATGAGTTTATTGCTCTCCAAATCTTTACGTCGTCAGCGTAAAGAAGCGCAGAGCAGTTTAGTTTGGAAGGCAGGTCGTTGATAAAAATCAAAAACATCAACGGCCCTAGGATAGAACCCTGAGGAACCCCTGATGCCGAGGTGTGCCAGGATGATCGTATGCGGTTGACTTTGGTGCAGAATTCTCTCTCGCCTAAGTAATCTTTTAGCCATGCGAGAAGTGCTCCAGAAACACCCACCTTGCTTATTTTGTGAAGGAGCAGACCATGGTGAACTGTGTCGAATGCTTTCGCAAAGTCGAGAAAGATCACGTGGGCTGGTACCTTTTCGTCCCAGGATGGTGTCCAATCGTTCCAAGCTAGTAGAAGATTCGTCACGCAGGATCTTCCCCTCCCGAAACCGTGCTGTGCTTCGTGAGGAAGGTTAGTCCCGTCGAAGTATTTTCTCATGTGGTCGTCAATGAGACTTTCCAATATTTTCGATATCGCTGACCATGCACATGGTCCGGGGTTCGAGCCCGCGCCGACGCACACCTGATATCTATGGTCGGCCTGCAAAATTTGGGCCACCGATATCCATGCTGAAAATTCCATACATGTACCAAAAATACAGTGTGGAATCAAGCTGTAAATTAAAAATAAAAAGATAAAAAAAAAAATTAGTAGAGCAACTGGTTTGTAACTGGTCGCATTCTGCCAGTCACCACTCTTGAAGATAGGGGATAGGATGGCTCGTTTCCACTCTCATGGAAGTTTCCCTACATTAAGGGAGTGTTGGAACAGATCACTTAGGGTTTGGCAGAGACTTTCTGAACACTGCTTCAGGACGGATGGTCTGATGTCATCACAACCTGAAGACTTTCCCGAAGCCAACTTTCCCAATTTTACAGGTACCATAGCCGGGGTAATTTAAAATATACCCAGCAGGTTTTCGCTCGTTGGTTTTGCGATGTAATCTTGATGTTCTGTGGGGGTAATATCCTCGTTACTGTTTAGTTGCCTGTGAAAGGCTAGGCTGAATGTCTCTGCCATTTCAAGACTAGTAAGAGATCTCTCATCAGAACCCACCAGGTTGCATGCTCCCTGGTTGGTCGGTTTTCTTTCGGACATAAACCTGTGTAGGCTTTTGGGGTTCATGAGAAGCTTATTGGCGAGGTCTCCCTGAAATGTCCTTCAATCGCTCCGGACTCGTATGCTACATCGATTCCTGAGTTCAAGGTACACTTCATGTTCGGGTTGACTCTTCTATTGTCGCCGCGCAAACCAGGCTTTTTGCTTCGCCTGCAGAAGGCGTTGTGTCCCCCTTTTTAGCCATGAACGTTGCTTCCTAGCTTTTGGTGTGACTAAAAGAACAGTGTCTGAGACCGCCTGTTGAATGATCTCCTTTACAACTCTCCAGTGTTCTTCTACTGTTAGCTCTGTCCATTTTTTATGCCAATTTGCTTCAAACAGAAGTCTTCGGATTTTGATGTAATTGGCCTTGTTATAACACAGATAGGGCTGTGTATTGTCCCACTGTAAGCGCTCGCGGAGGACTATGTTGAATACTATGACCACGTGGTTACTAATACCTATGGGAGTCGTGATCTGAACGTTTTCCACTAGTAGCTGGTCACTAGTGAGCACGTAATCCAGTCTAGAAGACTTCCCATCGGGGCCCCATCTAGTATCCATCCTGACATTTTCAGTGAATCCAGCCTTCTTGATGGTATGGAGCAGATTTCGATCAAATCTATCATGGGTTTTTCCCGACACCAAGTTAAGAGATGGGGCATTGAAGTCACCAGCTATGGCAATTTGATCATAACCCATGTCTTGAGTTGCTGAGGTTGTATTTAGCAGTACCTGGTTGCGGTCTGCTCCACATGAAGGTGATCGATAAATGCTGCCCACTAGATGTTTGCAGTACCCAACGGTGAAGTGGCACCATATGGAGTCAGGGAGCTCTGTGAGGGGAGGGTCCATCGCGTGAACACATCTGAGCTGTTTGTCGACATATATGGCGACTCCAACTCCTTCTTTCAGGTCCCCATCACGCCTGACTAGGACCATATCATTTATACTGACTTCGCTGTCTGCCACCGTAGGGGTTAGCCAGGTTTCCACCAGTATTATGATTTTGGAGTTCAGTTGTGATTGCAGGTGTCTAAGTTCAGCTATTTTGCCTCTTAGCCCTCTCACATTACTGTACAGGCAACTGGTAGTCAGTCTCACCACTTCCCCGTATTGGGGGGTAGTTGACTTGATATTGGCTATCGGTTGAGGAGTTATTCTACGAACTAGTTGGCCGATTCCCCAGGAACCGGCCTGTTGGCGTTTTTTCTTCTAGTTCAGTCGGAGCACTCGGATGACACTGGCTATCATCGTCCGTGCTGCACCGCTGTTGTGTGACTAGGGGTTGAGGATTTTTTTAAACTACGCTTTGTTCTCTCCTTTGGGTGCGAGGCCGGCTCTCGCGGCAGCGAATGTGTTTGCTGACCTTGTCCTTGGTCTCGTACCATCTATGGAGAGCGGTAGTCAACTGGTCTTGGGAGCTGAACTTGACAGCTAACAGACGTGGCATGTTAATTGACATAAGATGAATGGGTCGAGGGAGTCTATAAATAGAGACAGCCCCTGAACTCCCCAGGGCCATCTGGGATGCCAACCATCTCCATTGTTGTACATCATGACAATTCTTTTCGCAGGCGTTCCCAGTTACCAGTTCGGGAATGCCAAGCACAACCATGGAGGCAGAAGGAATAAGCTCTGGGGACTCCCTCGCTATTTGTATTTCCTTCCACGGCCTGTCTGGCTTAACACGTATGTTACAGGCCCTCCCTATAGAAAGGATTTGAGAAGCCAGTAACACTTTTTCAACATCCTCGGTAGAGCCCAATGTTACCCTCAGTGGGGATGGTTTGCCTTCAGGTGCAGCAGTGCCCCTATACAATTTACTGGTTGGATATCCAGACCCAGTGTGCTATACAAGATGGACCACTGTTCCTGATCAAATAGGGCCCTATCTTTCAGCAGACTACTACGAAGGTCTGGTACATTAAAGAGGATTACACAATTTGATCTACTAACCGTTGGCTTAGGCTCGGTCCTCGCACATTTGTGATTTCCTTTAAGACCGTTTTGTTTCGTCTGGTGCGACTGGGTATTTTTGTGTGTCTCAGTGCTATGGCCAGTATTACTGGCAGACGATAGGGGTCTTTTTCCAACGACGGAAACCCGTGGTGCTGTGTCTAGAGCGGTTATGTCAAGAGTTACAAGTTTAACTGGTGAGGATTTTGGTATCCCCAGTTTACGTGCGTTTGTACTAATTTCCGAATTGGTGGGGGTCGAACATTTCACATATTTTCCTGCTACTTTTGCGCCAACTTTAGTTTTCAGGGGACTACTCAAGGCTACATCAGGACGGCGACTCGGGCATATGTACCAGAACCATTGGCATGGGTTTTTACGCGTAAAGTCATAATATGCTTCTGGTGCCCCATTGTCGCATCTGCAATGCACCCATCGCTTGCAAAAGTTGCATTCGAAAGCAGAGTCTGCTTGTTCAACAACAGAAGCGCAGACCTTGCAGTCGTCTGCCTTCTTGGGGAGCGTTCTTGTCGTCTTGCGACGTCGTGAACGTTTATTTTTGGCCTTCCTATTTGTTTCATGGTCTATTATGGGGATGGGTGTTACGCAGTTGTTACTTAGTGCAATTTTCCCACTCGGCTCTGTTAACCTAGTCGTGTTAACAGGGGTGGAGCACATCCACTTGGTTGACCTTGCACAGCTTCACAGTAGGCCTGTGGCGATATGGGCAATCTGTACGAGCAAGGAATATAATATAATATATATTTCTTCCTGTTTATGCAGGAACATACCAATTGTACAGGCATGGATAAGTTATTATATAAATTACACAAAATTTGATGTATAATGGATTTACAGTTTGGTTGTTCTTTCTGACATCAAAGTCAGTCGGAACAGTCTGCTATAAAGTTTGTTTGTGTAGCACATAAAGAGATATAGAAATATTGTCTTCGCATTAACAAAAAACCCAGACATCAGATGAATGTAATACAAATATCTGGGAAAAATAAAGCTTGAAGTCAATTCTCCTATATAACTTTGTTGTGAACAGCACCCTTGGCTTAAAGATTATTGATGTATTATGTTGAGATCAGTGATATATTTATTCCATTTTTTCAGTAGTCTTATCGTAGTTTTATAACAGGAAAGAAATTTGATCGTGGATACGAAAACTAGATAAGGTCATGTTGGGTTGTTTTACTGCATCAAATGGTGCCGAGGTCGATTCCAGAATTCTCCATTTGCTCCATTTGTGTCTGCATGGCGGACTGTATTCGTAAGTTGAGTAAAATGTTGAAAACTGTTTGAAAACCAGTTGCTTCTTCATTTCAGATCATGAATACTCATTTACAGCATGTTCGCCAGCGTCTTCAAATGGTAGAATTGGATCGTTCATGGAATTTGAGTGGTTATGAGATAGACGGTTTGGAATTAATCCTCATTTCAGTTTAGATGCAGGGTTGTTCGACCTCGACCAGAAGATGAATAGGAGCAGCAAAATACCAGAAAGAGAAAGTATGTGAACATGAAAAGGACATTAATATTTTACGCATTTATAAATGTTTATGTCAATTTTATATTATACTTAAG